GTTTACAGTACTGTTGAGTACTCTACACTACACTCTACTACTACTCTACTCACTCTACTGCTACTGGCTACTGATCTAGTAAATAGTAAAATAGCTAGAGTAGATCTAGTCTAGAAATCTAGATTCTAGATCTAAAAAAAATCGATTTAAAATTAAAAACAGGTTAGCCTTACCTAGATCTAGCTCTTACTAAACTTAACTAGGGTAGGTTTTACCTAAACTAGATCTAATCTAGATCTAGAATCTATCTAGATCTACTAGATTCTCTAGATCTAGATTTTTAGATCTAGGGCCTACCATACTTTTTTACTACCATCTGCATCTAGATCTACTATCTCTATCTATCTACTAGCCATCTTTCTACAAGTCATTAGTCAAACAAAGCTACTTAGTTCTAGATCTATAGGCCTACTTCTAAAATATTAAACAGTAATCACTGAGTAATCAGCACTAGTCTAGAGTCTAGTTCAGTAATCTAGCTAAATCTAGGTCTATTAACATTAACATTGTTGTCAAAGTTCTAGATATCTAGATCTAGTATTCTAGATCTAGACTAGCTCTAGATTCTAGATTCGATTAAGTATTAGATCTAGTTGTAGGCTGAGTGAGACTGAAAGTGAAAGTCATCCTGTTTACTGTTTACCGTCATCCTTTTCTTAATATTTTTTAATATTTTATCTAGATCACTAAAATACTAGATCTAGAATCTAGATCTAATATATTCTAATTCATGAACTTATACTCTTAGAACTAGATTAAAGCAATGTAGATCTTAGTTGGTAGATTCTAGAATCCAGATCTAATCTAGACTAGGTCTGGGAATCTTGAGTCTCGTAGCAAAGACTGAGTAGAGTCAGACCAGAGTAATGTCCCCTAGCCTTGGACAAACTAACTATCAACAAAAGAAATAAAATCAATATACTTACCGTCACAAAACTTTTATATTCAAAAATGCATACACATGTGTTTGTTCCCATCCATATGAACAAAACAGCGTTGAAAGTTTTTACAATTGTTGCATTTCTGGAACGTTTGATGATTTTGAAATCTTGAAGCGGGACCTACTAACAAATAGCCGCCATGTTTTTTGTTATCAATGGGAATCCCGTTCACAACAATTGATTTAGTTCGAAAACTTTTATCTCTCCCTGGCTAACCAGACATGAATTAACGCGAGAAAGAACGATAAACTTACAAGTTCTATAGGCTTTTGAAAAATTCAAAGTAGAAAAAGTTCTACTTCTAGTTATCGGAAATCGCTCAAAAGTTTATACGGATCTACGATTGTTATATAATACTTATATATGAAATTTCATCAACCTAGCTGTAACGGTACTCAAGTTATCGTGTTTACACACACACACACACACAGACATACAGACACCCAGACACACAGACACACAGACACACAGACACACAGACATACGGACACGATTGTAAAATTATGTGTTTCCGACTCAGGGAGGCGTAAAACGTCGAGATTTCGATATTTTTTTGCACGATTACAAAACTTTCTCTATACTTCGTATATACAAGAAAGTAAAAAGTAGATCAACACGACTCGAATTATATTTTCAGTTGATTTCAAATTATATTCTAAGTTGATTTTAAAATATATTTTAAGTTGATTTACAAAACACAATTACAATATAAAGAAAAGTAATTAGCGTATGTCTGAACTAAAGTAGGATTAACTAAATGAAAACAGATAATTTTTGTTACAAATTCGGTGTCCTCTCTATTAAATAATATAATTGTTTCATATGCTACAGGCAACCAGGCGACAATTTTCTACCAATCACAACTTCTGAAAGACTCCACCATCTGTGACGTCTGCGGCTCAGTCACCGGAAATGTTCATGCGACGTTGTGTTATGTGTGTTGGTGTATATCTATTTTCTATTTATTTAGTTACGATTGGGTTACAAAACAAAATATACTAAACACAATATTTATAAAACGATGAATACATCAAATACAACATATACAAACTAACAGTCAAAAAAATAGGGTGGCGCCTAAGATTTTAAAACTCATTATTGTTCAACATAACTTAAACAATTAAAACGTACATTATTTTTTTGTTTATTTCATACTAATTTTAATTATGAAAATTAATCGGCAGCCTGGAAAATTATTTTTGAAAAAAAAAGTATTGCTTTTTAACTGGCTTCGATGATGTCATCTTGATTTCTTCTTATTCAAAACACGGCGGGCAAAATAGGCGGGCTTAGTTAGCTGTTGTTTCGATTAAATTTTATTTTTAATGATTTTTTCTATACCCTAATAAATTTTTTAAATTAACGACATTAGTTTAGTATGAGGTTATTAATAATTTTCTATTTGTCATTACAAGTTTGATTGTTAACAATATAGTATTAAATACAGTAATTTTATTTCCTTATGTTATGCTCTAAATTCTCAACTATTAGGCCAAAATTTGTACAAAAGGCAAGATTGCATCAAACCCTAATCGCCCATTGATAAAATTAGATTGGTGTCGTTGAATAAAACACAAAAATAACGATTATAAGTATGTCATTTTTTTTAATGACCAAAGAAACATGGTTAAAAAATGGAAACCCCTTTCCACGAATTGGTATAGTTCTTTGAAGGATTAAATATAAATTATTTTAAGAAGACGAAGAAGATGAAAGATCAAACATAAAATTAAAACATATTTCCCGCAGATATTAGTAATTGGTTACAATTTATTTGATACAAACGCTAGTAAAGAGAGAAATATTCTCTATTGAATTTTATCTTAGTTATTTTGTGAGTACGATTTTCATCTCTAATATTTTTTATCTCATAAATATGGTTTGTAAGTCATTTTTTAATGACTTGTTGTCTGTCTGTATGTGAGGCATTTTGATATTTCGTCACCTGTAGAACTTACGAAAACCAGACTAAAAAATAGTTTTGACAAATTCTTTGTCCATAGCATTTTATAAATATATTGTAAAATTCAAAGCTTTTGATCCTCAAATGTAATAGAATTAACCCTCGATCATAAAAACATTTTTTTCACTTACAGATGTTGCAGAAAGCATTGGACGTATGCAAAGCTTTCCTGTCGTGGTGTTCACAAATAATGTTAGATATTATACATTTCTTATAGCAAAGGCCATCTTATAGCAAGTAAAATTATATTACATCTGTAAAAATATTTTACTAATTTATATAAAGCTTGTAAATAAATTTTATTTTAGCTTTTAAATGTCTAACTTTATTCAATGGTATAAACCTGTAAATATTGCTTTGAAAAACTAAAAAATGTTTGCTTTTTAAACGAATAAATCTTTTGACCTATTTTTACTTTCTCGTATATACGTAGTATAGAGAAAGTCTTGTAATCGTGCAAAAAAAAAAAAATCGAGATTTTTGCAAATCTCGACGTTTTGCATCTCACTGATACGGAAAAACATAATTTTGCAATCTTGTCCGTATGTCTGTGTGTCTGTGTGTGTGTGTGTGTGTGTCCGTGTGTAAACACGATAACTTGAGTACCGTTACAGCTAGGTTGATGAAATTTCATATATAAGTATTTAATCAAAATCGTAGATCCGTATCAACTTTTGAGCGATTTCCGATAACCGGAAGTGGTACTTTTCCTACTTTGAATTTTTCAAAAGCCTATAACTTGAGTACTATTTCAGATAGATAAATGAAATTTCATACGTAAGTAAAAGATCTAATTCTCTACCTTCTATTAAATTTTGAGTCATTTCCGTTGACTGGAAGTAGTACTTTACGCTACTTCCGATTTCTCAAAAAACTAATGTAAATTTTAAAAGTAATAATAATATTGCGCACTATTATGCGCTTTTTTATTTGGCGTTCACTTGGTGTGCAATTCTTTTGTCTACGAGATTTTATTCTATTTTTAAAACTTTAAGTATTTAAAATGGATTAAAAATCATGTCTATAGCCCGAGTTCCCATCCCCTGTTATTTTATATAAGAATATTCGAGAAAGTTTAGGGGAGATCACTCCCGGTTTATTTTTTTTTGCTTTAAATTTAAATGTAAAAACCATTTTCGTATTAGCACATTTTGGGTGATATGATATTGTTTTTATTTTAAGCAGACGAAACATAGAGGCCCAGACACACATGGTAACTTACAACAAATACAAAAAAAACTTTTACTTAATGCAATCTTTATAATTTGTCATTTAATATATTTTCTACTAATTTTTCAGTCAATACTTTGACAACATCTTCCAAAAACGTTTTGCTTGTATTTTAAAATGGTTCATTCATACTAGCTTGTATCGTTTATTGTGCAATCCAAACTTGCTTACTCGGTAATTTCATATTGAATGGTATTTTTTTTTTCTTTTAAGGGAGAAGAATCTTGAAGTATAACTCGACAGCAACTAATTCATTAATATTATCTGAACTTGAAACACGTGGAATAACACGTGAATTTGAGTTCTAGAAAACGAGATACCTTTTAGAGATTGTGTTTCTTAACATAACAAAGAGTAAAAAATATTATCTAAAACATTATTCGTTCCAAAGAAATTAAAGGAACCAATATGATTTTAAATTTAGTTATTACATTAAAAACTAAGTGAATACGCATTGTAGTTTCTTGAAATTATATTTTAAGACAATCGTCTTAACCTAGCTCTTACATTTATTTGTTATAAATGAAATATCATGCGGTAAAGACCTGTAGGATTTCTTAAAATAACTTTACTGAAAAGTTAGCTTCGACATCCTTACTGTGATCTTTGGTAAAGTAAATTTTAAAAAAAAAGCTATTTAATAATACTATTCATTGTCACGATAACATTAAAAGCAGCGTTGGAATATTTAACTTTATTGTCTTTAGCCTAGATCATTTACGTTATTAATTTCTGACCTACTACTACTAGTTTAGTTGCTCGTATTTTAAATGTCGTCATTACACACATCAAATTAATGCGCATTGCCGTAATCGGAAATTTCAGTTTCATTCGGCATCAAAGCTGAAAGCGAGGCTCCTTTACGCTGTGTCAAAATTCTAAAAGATTCATTTCAATATTCTATTTAGATCTAAATAGATCTAGAATCAAGTCAGAAACGTATGTCGATTTAACTTTACAAAAAAAGTCCTGTTGCTTGCTCTGTGTTTATGCAACAAGATGCGGCTGTTTCTTCTACTCACACTGGTTGCTACAACAATGTGTGCTAAAAAGTAAGTTGGGTGTTAAACGGAAGGTCACAAGTCAATGCTTATATTTCAGAAATCTAGTATGCGTTTTGTGCTTGTGTTAAAAACTAATATTAGTCTACCCATAAGAGATTAAGATATATTGTGCACGAAAGTCAGTTTCAATAAACCTGTTTTGGCGAATTAAAATCAAATGACTAAGCTTGGCTATATACACTTATTAAGCTGAAAAAACTTACAATAACAAAATAATTGACATCAACAAGTTGGTGAGAATCATTCCATCATTAGGGGGTCGGCGTGGTCGAGTCGGTAAAGCTCATGGTTGCTAAACCGAAAGGTCTCGAGTTCGAACCCTTGGGCAGATGAGGCTAGTTAGCTGGGGACAGCCACTCTTCTAGGAGAGACAACTCCAAAATTAAAAACAACTGCTGCCTTGTAGTTTGTTCTTGGTTGGACAAAGGCTATGGAAGCAAATCCAAAAAGAAAAGCAGGCTGAAATCGGAGTCAATGGCCTCAATGGCGCATAACCAGATGACACGTAACGCTTAATTGTGTTGGAGGCGTGGTCGAGTCGGCAAAAAGCTCATGGTTGATAAATTCGAACAAAGTCTCGAGTTCAAACCCACTGGCAGATAAATCTCGATCCCCTTCGACACTAATAATTAAGAAAGAAGAAGATTCCATCATTATTTTTGACATGGATAAATATCGTGCTTTTATCAATTTCGCCTTCATATCTGCCTTAAAAAAAACTAAAGCTTGAATTTTTTTTCCAAAATTGAATATAAATAATAAATCAATAATAGAAATCTAGAAAAACAATTTACCTGTCTTTAAGGCTACATTTCTATTTATTTTCACAATTAGACAAAAAATCATCGAACAATGTATAGTGACGTATTGGTCCACAAAATTTGTAAATTAAACTTCTCAAATAAATCACGTATTCCTCTGTTCTAGCTAGCAAATATTTATCATTTTTAACATAATTACAAGAATATATCATTGTATTTTCTAGTACGTATGTCGTCATTGCCCCATCAACGATCCACCCCAACATGAACTTCACCGTCAGCGTCCACATTCTCAAGGCCACCGGCTACGTAAAGGTAGTCGCCCAAGTTCTAAGGGAAGCAACTCTTGTGGGTAGCGGTGTGAACCTTTTTAAAGCCGGTGAGTAGACGGTCCCAGAGTTTCTCCCAGGCATCTCTTCGGGGGGGGGGGGGGGTGCGCCCCTCCCCTGAAGAAAGTCTACCGCCCCCTCCCCCCGAACGAGATGTATTTTATATAATAAACATACACTTTTACTAAGGTCCGCCCCCCACCCCCGAAATATATTGACCACCAACCCCCCCCCCCCCCGGAAATTTAAAGTGCCCCCCCCCCCCGGAGTCTGGAAGAAACACTGGACTGACCTTTGGCAGACAACACAGTGTCATAATTGTTGTATCACCTATGTCATTATTTTTGTATCACCTATGTCATCATTGTTGTATCACCTATGTCAGTATTGTTGTATCACCTATGTCATTATTGTTGTATCACCCATGTCATTCTTGTTGTATCACCTATGTTAGTATTGTTGTATCAACTATGTTAGTATTGCTGTATCACCTATGTCAGTATTGATGTGTCTCTTTTAGGATCTGTATCATCATTTTATTTATTTTTCTGTGTCGTAAAGGTAGAAGAGTGGGACAAGATTTTTTTAATGTATAAAAATGTCAGATTGGCAACAACTGACAAATCTGACTAATGAATTGTGCAGGAATATTGTCAAACAACCACTGAGGTGAAATACAGCCCATCTGTTTCTTTTACCTAGCCTTATGGAAGTCTTTTTCGTTCAGCGTCATCAGAGGCGTAGAGATGGGGTGGCAGGGCGGGTAAATTGAACATTTGCTCCCGAGGGGGGCGCCAAATTGAAAGTTTGTACCCGGGCGCCGGGAAGTGTCGCTATGCCTATGAGCGTTATTCCCCAAATATCACATGCTTTTGTTTTAATATTTTATTTGATCAGCGGTATAATCAAGCACTCGACTACATTATCCCATCGTCACGTGATTTATTTCTAACCAATCGGGGTTGGATAAGTTTATTGTGGATTAGAAAAGATAGACAACCGAAAGCAGCTGGAAAATTTCTGGTTAACAATTTCTCTCTCTCTCTCTCTCTCTCTCTCTCTCTCTCTCTCTCTCTCTCTCTCTCTCTCTCTCTCTCTCTCTCTCTCTCTCTCATTCTCTCTCTCTCTCTCTCACTCTGTACAACTTGACCAATCATTCCCCCGCCAGATTTACCGGAAATAAAATTAATACTATTTTTAATTAGTATTAAAAATGTTTCTCTCCCAGGAAATCCGGCAACAATCACGATAAAGGTAAGCCTTGCATTTGATTCATTATAAATTTTAAATTATTAAAACGTATACTCTTTCTATTTTTTAAATCACTTAATTATCAAACGAACTCTTCTGTGATATGATTTTTGGAATATAGAGTTTATCTACTAAAACTATACAACTAAAACTTAGCCATGTGTGTGGGGGGTTTTGAAGTGCGTTCATATGTAAAAAAAATTTAAATTAGTAGATATAACCAAATCTAAAATTACACATCTAGTAATACAACACTAGTAGAAATACTTTGTTTTTCAAAAAATGGCGTTCATGGAGATCTTCAAAACTTTTTTTCGTTGGTTTTAATGATGTTTGTTTTTTATTTAATTTAAGCTCCAAACAATATTAACACGTTACGCTAAGATACCTTTGACCGAATTTCTAATTCGATAATATAATGAAATTAATTACCGAAAAAACTATAATCTAAAATTATGCTTCTTTTGGAAGGAGAAAACGTAAACCAAATCAACATTAATTAGTTTATAACAAAACCAAGTATGAAAACAACGAAGTTTTTTTTCACTAAACTATTTTAGGCGTTAAATCGTTCAAATACATCTTTGATTGTTAGCAATGAAGTATGTTAAATTGGAATATAATTTAATTAAAAATAATGTTTGTCTCTTTTTTATATGACGGATAAGCTTAGTGATATAAGTAGGTTATTTTCTCGTACTTGACAGTAGTTTTGTGTCCGAGACGAGTGCTTTTCAACATCATTAAGTCGCGAGTTCGGTACCCATGCAGTCATCGTGAATTTTTTTTTTATTTTTCCAGGTAGATGGTCCACAGTGGGAAACCGCAACCCACGTCAATGATTCTATTTCAATGTCTTTATTTCAATTGTTTTATTTGATATTCCAATGAGTTTCAAGCATAGGCATTTTTTTCAAGAACAAAATCGATGGTGTGGGTTCTTTTTAGGATTGTATTCTGGGCTTTTTCGCCACGATGTTTAAGGAGTGGGTTATGAGTAGAGGATGATAGAAAATATGGAAGAAGCGTGACATTGTTTCTAAAATGACCAGTTAAATCATAGTTATCCAAAGGATAACGTGAGGCTTAGTTTATTTAACAACAGCAGTTTAATGAAATATTATAACAGGTATTTAGTTTGTATTCGTTTATAAAACCTATTATCTTTACCCAGCTCCCCTCTGACCTGCCCGACAGCGGCTACACACTCAAAGTCGTTGGCAGCGGCGGTTTGGTGTTTGACAAGTCTGAGAGTCTCAGCTACAACAGCAAAGACGCTTCGTTGTTTATACAGCTGAATAAGGCCATCTTTAAGCCTAGTGATACAGGTAGGTAGACGTTTATATAAGGTCATCTTTAGTGATACAGGTAGGTAGACGTTTATATAAGACCATCTTTAAGCCTACCGATACAGGTAGGTAGACTTTTCTATAGGCTATGTTTAAGCCTAGTAATACAGGTAGTTAGACGTATAAATAATTCCATCTTTAAGCCCGGTTAGACGTTTATATTTTACCTGGGTGTCAATAGTATTTGTGTAAATACGATAGCGAACTGGGGTTTTTATACGCTTTTATTTAACTTGCTACATTTGTCTGTCTGTCGTCGTCATGGATCGAACCTGCCGAGCATAATTTCACTTCTAACAGACTGGGTCTTTTCATACTTAGCACACGGGTCAAAACCCGAAGATATTGCAATCTGACATCAAATTTGGCTTAATCGGATGCCTAATTAATTTTTTAATTAATTAAAATATCCTAGGTCGCTTCTTAAATGTTAATAAAGGTATTCAATAGATAATACAGTGACCCACGATTTTCTAGACATTTATTTAAATAGAATTGTATTATTATTTTTTAAGAAAACCATTTATTTTCTACTTTTAGTGTTTAATTTTTTAAAGACTTATAACTAAAACGTTTTTATCCATTAATTTGCATTGCTTCACATTATTTCTTGAACGCATCACCATACGATACTTATTTAAAGTAGCTCAAACTATTCTTTCAAGTGAAATTTAGAGTGTTTGGTGTGTACTCCGATTTACAGTCCTACAAAGGAACGATGGACATTTCTATCTATGTAAGTAATTTTTCTAGGGACAGCCGTACGAATCAATTCAAAGTAAAAGGAATCTTTTTAAAAATATTTCTGTCAAAGTGTAACTTCACTAATTTTCAATTTTTCTTGAGATAGGACGCGAATGAAAATAAGATCAAACAGTGGGCCAAGGTCAGTCCAGAGAAAGGGGTTATCGCCCAGGAACTGACCCTCTCATCCCAGCCAGCGCTTGGTGTCTGGAAAATCTCGGTGGAAGCTGGCGTAAGAAAATTTTAATTTTTTTTGTCTCATGCTACTTTTATATAAACACTCAAAGATTTTAGTTTGGTGACCATTACTTTTGCATTAAAACAACATTATATTATTGCTTTGACTTGTGCAAGATATCGTAACAATTCATTGAAAATTAAATTTGAGCTAAATTACTGTTGTTAAATTAAATATTTATGTATATATTACATCTTAATACAAACGGTTTTTAACTCTGTTTTTAGAAAATGATAGAAGAAAAAGGATTTACTGTAGCTGAGTATGGTAAATACTTTGTTATCGCATTGAACACTTGTTACTTTAGCTAAATCCCTTTTTATCATTTTGTTCTAAACTATTTCAGCTATTGTTCTGAATCACAATTTTGTTGTATGTTAGTTAGAAGGTCCAATATTTCCTGAACAAACTGTAGTTTAGACCATCATTTAGTCGAAAACCATGTTTGTTTTTTTAAGTCGTAAATAATAACAATTAAAATACAGATCACATAATTCTTCTCTGTCTTAGTATCTTATTTTATAACATGACATCTCGTCCCCACACCATACACATATCATTATATAAAGCAAAAAAGTCACATTTATATTATAAAATAATTTGCATAGCAGAACTAGAAGCTGTGATGAATACGATGGGCTTTTTAAAAAAATTATTATAAATTTCATCTGTATCAAATGTAAAGCTACAACTAAAATCAGCTGTTAAAAAGACTTATCATTGTATTTACGTTTCATAACTCATAAGAGAAAAAGAAAAAAATATTTCAGTTCTACCCAAGTTCAAGGTCGAGGTTATCATGCCACCTTACGTTTTGACCAGGGACTCCGACATCACGTTTACTGTTAAGGCAAAGTGAGTGAATTTGATTCAATCAAGGTCAGATCAACAATGTTATTTTCACTGTACTCACCCTCCCCCTTTTGGTATTATAAACTTTAAATAAGCAGACGAAAGTATCTGGAGTACTATTTACGTTTTTTAGAGGTAATTAGCGTTAACTGAGTTACCCTTAAAATGAAGTAACCATTTAAGAAAGTCGTCCTTAAAAAGTGATAGAATAATATAATATCTTACAACCTAAAGGTACGCCTATGGTAAACCGGTCAATGGAAGCGTGAACGTCCAGGTAAACCTACACTACTACTGGGGGACGAAGCCCGTGTACAAGGCAACTGTCCCCGTAAGTGACTCGTACATTCAGTTCATCAATAACAAGGGAGATTACCCAATTTTATATAAGTTATTGTACTTGAAATATCAGCTGTTGACAAAGGTTTAAAATCATTGAGTCAAGAGCAATTTAGTTTAAAAAATTCCTAAAAGTATTTGAAGTAACCGCAAACAATTTTATGTGTAAATACTTAAAACTATAATATTTCCAAGTTACCACTCAGCTGTGAAGAAAAAAACGATTGTCAAATATAGTCGCAAATAGTCAAATTTACAAGATGACTTTGGAGATTATTTGTAATTTAAGGATATTCATGTAGTCAACATACAAAATTCCAAAATCTCAATTCTCACTCCGCCTTGATGCGGAAAAACTTCGGTTTTCGCATTGTGTGTTTGTGTGTTAACGTACTAACGTTTTAATGTTTTAACGTTTTAACCGTTTCTGTTGGGTCGACACAATTTTATTTAAAGTACAAGATCGTTTACTTAGATTCCAATTAACTTTTAAGTTTTAAGCCTATAAGCATTTTATCTGTTTTTATATTCAAGACTTATGTGGATCGCATTGGCTATAATAGACTTAGAATTTAAAGAGTTTTATCCCAAAATTAATTGGTTTTATTACATTTTGATTATAAATTATGTTCAATTTTTAAGCAGTTTATACTGATTAACATTTTTATAAGATGAAGAAAAAAACTATGTCCCCTGTTTTGTAAATATTTGTCAAAAACACATAAAAATCATCAGCGTTGCTTCTGGTTGTTGCCAGAAAGCAAATTTTCCAGTCAAATTTGGGGTCGGCATGGTCGAGTTGGTAAAGCTCATGGTTTCTAAACCGAAAAGTCTAGAGTTCAAACCCTCGGGCAGATAAGGCTCGTTAGCTGGGGACAGCCACTCCTTCTAGGAGAGACAACTCCAAAAATCAAACAACTTCTGCCTTGTAGTTTGTTCTTGGTTGGACAAAGGCTATGGAAGCAAATCCAAAAAGAAAAGCAGGCTGAAATCGGAGTCAATGGCCTCAATGGCGCATAACCTGTTAACACGTATCCCTTAATTGTGATAGAGGCTTGGTCGAGTCGGCTAAAAGCTCATGGTTGATAAATTCGAAAAAAGTCTCGAGTTCAAACCCTCTGGCAGATAAGGCTCGATCCCTTCCAACACTGAAAATTAAGAACGAAGAAGAAGAAGAAGATCAGCGTTAGTTTATAAGGGGTTCAATTATCTGTTTGCTGCTTGCTGGGCAGGGGTCGGCAACCTGCGGCCCGCGAGCGCATGCGGCACTTTTGGTGTCCAATTGCGGCTCTTCAGCTCTATGCACAAACATTAATATTTTTTTTATTTTCAAAACTTATGAAAATATTAGTCTGCAACACAATAAACAATAAACATTCACTATTATATTAGAATATTTAGTTACTCCCTATCTCAATGTACTTCCTATTACATTGTCCATTCCAAATTGAAACATTCAACTTCATTGTGGATATCACAAAGAAACTAAACCAGCTAAGTGTAAAACTAAAAGGAAAACCCAGCCTATGTCTTGCTTGAAGAAGTGGTTTGTTTTAAAAATATAATATTTTTTGTTGAATACATGGTGAGAGGTAAATTACTTAATTACGAAAAATCTGAAAAAATATAGTTATAAAACCAATGCTTCTATTCAATCACTTCAGCATTAATATATACAAAATGAAGGGTGTTTTCACTGAGAGATTTGAGCTATTCAAAACAAATGCAAGTACTCTGACTTACATAGTACACAAATTCAAATGAGATTATTTCATATATTCAAAGCTATTTATTTAAAATTACATATATAATATATTTGTTTAGGATTTATATATATATATATATATATATATATATATATATATATATATATATATATATATATATATATATATATATATAATCCTAAATATATATACTATTGACATAAAAATGTAAGTGGCTCTTTAAAAACCGGGTAATGTTGTAAATTGTAACCTTTGGCTCTTTCGTCTCAAAAGCTTGCCGACCTCTGTTGCTGGGCTAAGGGTGGTGGTGGGGGTTGAGTCGTGATATAAAACTGAAAGCCACCTGACGACAAGGCTGATGTTCGCTGAATTTTTCCCAACAACAGCGTGTTTTTGTATCATACGAGAAAGATAACACGGCCTTCACCAAATGTTAAATTTTAAAACAAAATACGGTCGACAGCTGTTTTTGGGCCTTTTAAACGGTATTGCCTCATCCCCGTATTGCGGGGTCTGGCGGTGCAGTAGTTCCGCCCCTGGTTTATTTAAAAAAATTTAAAACTCTGCTAAAATGAAAAACAACTATTTTGTTGTTTTTTTTTTCAACTTTCTAAGATTGATGGAGAAACCAGGGTGGTGGTACCCGTGTCGAAGCTAGAGGGCATTCCAGACCTGCTGAATAAATTCCCCCTTACCGCCGTCGCAATCGTGACCGAGTCTTTGACAGGATTCAAGGTGTCCAGTAGTGGAACGGTCACCATTTACAAAGAAGGTTCTAAGTTACAGATCCTAGTGGACAACCCCAACTTTAAACCTGGTCTACTGTACCCCATCTATGTAAGTACTTTACAGTACCCCGCCTATATGAATGCAATTTAAACTGTGTCAATCAGCTGAAACCTACAGTCCCTAGCCGACAAAGTACTTAAAACTTACGGTGCATTGCCTGCCAAATCTGTCAAATGATGTGTATATTTCTTAAGACATATGTAATGTTATCGTTAAGGGCGTCTATTACAGCCTTTTTTTTTAGATCGGAACGTATGATTGTTTGTGTGTTTGTTGGTTTCCTTTGTTTGATTGCATGTTTTCTTGGTTTGTTTATTTGTTTGTTTGTTTGTTTGTTTGTTCATTCGTTCGTTCGTTCGTTCGTTCTTTCGTTCGTTTGTTCGTTCGTTCGTTTTTTCGTTCGTTCGTTCGTTAGTTCGTTGGTTCGTTCGGTTGTTCGTTCGTTTGTTCGTTCGTTCGTTCGTTCGTTCTTTCGTTCGTTTGTTTGTTGTTTGTTTGTTTGTTTGTTTGTTTGCTTGTTTGTTTCTTTGTTTCTTTGTTTCTTTGATTCTTTGTTTCTTTGTTTATTTGTTTATTTGTTTATTTGTTTATTTGTTTATTTGTTTCTTTGTTTATTTGTTTCTTTGTTTCTTTGTTTCTTTGTTTCTTTGTTTCTTTGTTTCTTTGTTTCTTTGTTTCTTTGTTTCTTTGTTTCTTTGTTTCTTTGTTTCTTTGTTTCTTTGTTTCTTTGTTTCTTTGTTTCTTTGTTTCTTTGTTTCTTTGTTTCTTTGTTTCTTTGTTTCTTTGTTTCTTTGTTTCTTTGTTTCTTTGTTTCTTTGTTTCTTTGTTTCTTTGTTTCTTTGTTTCTTTGTTTCTTTGTTTCTTTGTTTCTTTGTTTCTTTGTTTCTTTGTTTCTTTGTTTCTTTGTTTCTTTGTTTCTTTGTTTCTTTGTTTCTTTGTTTCTTTGTTTCTTTGTTTCTTTGTTTCTTTGTTTCTTTGTTTCTTTGTTTCTTTGTTTCTTTGTTTCTTTGTTTCTTTGTTTCTTTGTTTCTTTGTTTCTTTGTTTCTTTGTTTCTTTGTTTCTTTGTTTCTTTGTTTCTTTGTTTCTTTGTTTCTTTGTTTCTTTGTTTCTTTGTTTCTTTGTTTCTTTGTTTCTTTGTTTCTTTGTTTCTTTGTTTCTTTGTTTCTTTGTTTCTTTGTTTCTTTGTTTCTTTGTTTCTTTGTTTCTTTGTTTCTTTGTTTCTTTGTTTCTTTGTTTCTTTGTTTCTTTGTTTCTTTGTTTCTTTGTTTCTTTGTTTCTTTGTTTCTTTGTTTCTTTGTTTCTTTGTTTCTTTGTTTCTTTGTTTCTTTGTTTCTTTGTTTCTTTGTTTCTTTGTTTCTTTGTTTCTTTGTTTCTTTGTTTCTTTGTTTCTTTGTTTCTTTGTTTCTTTGTTTCTTTGTTTCTTTGTTTCTTTGTTTCTTTGTTTCTTTGTTTCTTTGTTTCTTTGTTTCTTTGTTTCTTTGTTTCTTTGTTTCTTTGTTTCTTTGTTTCTTTGTTTCTTTGTTTCTTTGTTTCTTTGTTTCTTTGTTTCTTTGTTTCTTTGTTTCTTTGTTTCTTTGTTTCTTTGTTTCTTTGTTTCTTTGTTTCTTTGTTTCTTTGTTTCTTTGTTTCTTTGTTTCTTTGTTTCTTTGTTTCTTTGTTTCTTTGTTTCTTTGTTTCTTTGTTTCTTTGTTTCTTTGTTTCTTTGTTTCTTTGTTTCTTTGTTTCTTTGTTTCTTTGTTTCTTTGTTTCTTTGTTTCTTTGTTTCTTTGTTTCTTTGTTTCTTTGTTTCTTTGTTTCTTTGTTTCTTTGTTTCTTTGTTTCTTTGTTTCTTTGTTTCTTTGTTTCTTTGTTTCTTTGTTTCTTTGTTTCTTTGTTTCTTTGTTTCTTTGTTTCTTTGTTTCTTTGTTTCTTTGTTTCTTTGTTTCTTTGTTTCTTTGTTTCTTTGTTTCTTTGTTTCTTTGTTTCTTTGTTTCTTTGTTTCTTTGTTTCTTTGTTTCTTTGTTTCTTTGTTTCTTTGTTTCTTTGTTTCTTTGTTTCTTTGTTTCTTTGTTTCTTTGTTTCTTTGTTTCTTTGTTTCTTTGTTTCTTTGTTTCTTTGTTTCTTTGTTTCTTTGTTTCTTTGTTTCTTTGTTTCTTTGTTTCTTTGTTTCTTTGTTTCTTTGTTTCTTTGTTTCTTTGTTTCTTTGTTTCTTTGTTTCTTTGTTTCTTTGTTTCTTTGTTTCTTTGTTTCTTTGTTTCTTTGTTTCTTTGTTTCTTTGTTTCTTTGTTTCTTTGTTTCTTTGTTTCTTTGTTTCTTTGTTTCTTTGTTTCTTTGTTTCTTTGTTTCTTTGTTTCTTTGTTTCTTTGTTTCTTTGTTTCTTTGTTTCTTTGTTTCTTTGTTTCTTTGTTTCTTTGTTTCTTTGTTTCTTTGTTTCTTTGTTTCTTTGTTTCTTTGTTTCTTTGTTTCTTTGTTTCTTTGTTTCTTTGTTTCTTTGTTTCTTTGTTTCTTTGTTTCTTTGTTTCTTTGTTTCTTTGTTTCTTTGTTTCTTTGTTTCTTTGTTTCTTTGTTTCTTTGTTTCTTTGTTTCTTTGTTTCTTTGTTTCTTTGTTTCTTTGTTTCTTTGTTTCTTTGTTTCTTTGTTTCTTTGTTTCTTTGTTTCTTTGTTTCTTTGTTTCTTTGTTTCTTTGTTTCTTTGTTTCTTTGTTTCTTTGTTTCTTTGTTTCTTTGTTTCTTTGTTTCTTTGTTTCTTTGTTTCTTTGTTTCTTTGTTTCTTTGTTTCTTTGTTTCTTTGTTTCTTTGTTTCTTTGTTTCTTTGTTTCTTTGTTTCTTTGTTTCTTTGTTTCTTTGTTTCTTTGTTTCTTTGTTTCTTTGTTTCTTTGTTTCTTTGTTTCTTTGTTTCTTTGTTTCTTTGTTTCTTTGTTTCTTTGTTTCTTTGTTTCTTTGTTTCTTTGTTTCTTTGTTTCTTTGTTTCTTTGTTTCTTTGTTTCTTTGTTTCTTTGTTTCTTTGTTTCTTTGTTTCTTTGTTTCTTTGTTTCTTTGTTTCTTTGTTTCTTTGTTTCTTTGTTTCTTTGTTTCTTTGTTTCTTTGTTTCTTTGTTTCTTTGTTTCTTTGTTTCTTTGTTTCTTTGTTTCTTTGTTTCTTTGTTTCTTTGTTTCTTTGTTTCTTTGTTTCTTTGTTTCTTTGTTTCTTTGTTTCTTTGTTTCTTTGTTTCTTTGTTTCTTTGTTTCTTTGTTTCTTTGTTTCTTTGTTTCTTTGTTTCTTTGTTTCTTTGTTTCTTTGTTTCTTTGTTTCTTTGTTTCTTTGTTTCTTTGTTTCTTTGTTTCTTTGTTTCTTTGTTTCTTTGTTTCTTTGTTTCTTTGTTTCTTTGTTTCTTTGTTTCTTTGTTTCTTTGTTTCTTTGTTTCTTTGTTTCTTTGTTTCTTTGTTTCTTTGTTTCTTTGTTTCTTTGTTTCTTTGTTTCTTTGTTTCTTTGTTTCTTTGTTTCTTTGTTTCTTTGTTTCTTTGTTTCTTTGTTTCTTTGTTTCTTTGTTTCTTTGTTTCTTTGTTTCTTTGTTTCTTTGTTTCTTTGTTTCTTTGTTTCTTTGTTTCTTTGTTTCTTTGTTTCTTTGTTTCTTTGTTTCTTTGTTTCTTTGTTTCTTTGTTTCTTTGTTTCTTTGTTTCTTTGTTTCTTTGTTTCTTTGTTTCTTTGTTTCTTTGTTTCTTTGTTTCTTTGTTTCTTTGTTTCTTTGTTTCTTTGTTTCTTTGTTTCTTTGTTTCTTTGTTTCTTTGTTTCTTTGTTTCTTTGTTTCTTTGTTTCTTTGTTTCTTTGTTTCTTTGTTTCTTTGTTTCTTTGTTTCTTTGTTTCTTTGTTTCTTTGTTTCTTTGTTTCTTTGTTTCTTTGTTTCTTTGTTTCTTTGTTTCTTTGTTTCTTTGTTTCTTTGTTTCTTTGTTTCTTTGTTTCTTTGTTTCTTTGTTTCTTTGTTTCTTTGTTTCTTTGTTTCTTTGTTTCTTTGTTTCTTTGTTTCTTTGTTTCTTTGTTTCTTTGTTTCTTTGTTTCTTTGTTTCTTTGTTTCTTTGTTTCTTTGTTTCTTTGTTTCTTTGTTTCTTTGTTTCTTTGTTTCTTTGTTTCTTTGTTTCTTTGTTTCTTTGTTTCTTTGTTTCTTTGTTTCTTTGTTTCTTTGTTTCTTTGTTTCTTTGTTTCTTTGTTTCTTTGTTTCTTTGTTTCTTTGTTTCTTTGTTTCTTTGTTTCTTTGTTTCTTTGTTTCTTTGTTTCTTTGTTTCTTTGTTTCTTTGTTTCTTTGTTTCTTTGTTTCTTTGTTTCTTTGTTTCTTTGTTTCTTTGTTTCTTTGTTTCTTTGTTTCTTTGTTTCTTTGTTTCTTTGTTTCTTTGTTTCTTTGTTTCTTTGTTTCTTTGTTTCTTTGTTTCTTTGTTTCTTTGTTTCTTTGTTTCTTTGTTTCTTTGTTTCTTTGTTTCTTTGTTTCTTTGTTTCTTTGTTTCTTTGTTTCTTTGTTTCTTTGTTTCTTTGTTTCTTGGGGTTTTTTTTGTTTCAAATCTTGTAATTTAATTTTGACCGTTTCTAATGCAGCGATTTTGTTTAATCTTTCCAAATGAGTTCCACTTTGATGACAATATATGACTGTCTATTATTTTCTTTTCTTAGAAGTTTAATAAGACATTAAAATTGAATTAAACGGGTACCAAACAAATGGGAGATATGTTTAGATTCGTAGAGCCGGTCGATCTAGTGATGGCTATTAGGGGAAGATAATAAAGTTTTTAAACTATTTGAATTTAAGGGGAAGTAGTAGGATTAAGAGGTATCCTTCGCTTTATCATTTCGTGTTGTCTGTAAAATGTGATAACGGCGGATGCTTTCACGGGGCAGATAATCATCTTTCAGATATCACGACCTACTGGTAGTGTTTTAAAGCAAATATTTTTGTCATGTCGACTTCTTAAAATAGGAATCACTAAAAAGTAGAAAATAAAACAAATGTAAAAAAAGCCTTTACAGCAACAAGCTTTACATGCACTGGAAATTCGAAAACAAAACTAATTTATTGTCTTCAATAAACACTTTGGTCGCTCGTAAGATAATTTACACATTTTAGCAAACAAAAGCAACAAAATAGATTATAAAGTAAAAACAAATAAAACAAACATTAAAAACCTTTTTAGCAATAAACTTTTAAACTCACTGAAAATAAGAAAATAAAACTAATCTATTGAAGCAAATCGTGTAACTCAGTATTGCACCACATCTAATGTCGTGATTTCCAGACATATTCGTCCCTGAAAACAACTCAAGAATATAAAATGTGCATACTAGTGCGGAATCTTATTCGTAATTTATAAATTTACATTCAATTTTTTGAGAAATCAGAAATAGCGTAAATTACTACTTCCAGTCAACGGAAATTACTCAAAATTTGAAAGAAGGTAGAAATTTAGATCTTTTACTTAAATGTGAAATTTCATTTATCTCTCTGAAATAGTACTCAAGTTATAGGCTTTTGAAAAATTCAAAGTAAAAAAATAACACTTCCGGTTATTGGAAATCGCTCAAAAGTTGATACAGATCTACAATTTTGATAAAATACGTATATATGAAATTTCATCAACCTAGCTGTAACGGCACTCAAAGCTATCGTGTTTACACACACACACACACAGACAGACACACAGACATACGGACAGAATTGCAAAGTCCAATTTTTCCGACTCGATAACGCACAAAACGCCAAAATGTTTATTTATTTGTATTTATAATTTTTGCCTGATTAAAAAAAAGTCCTCTATACTCCGGATTTGATGAAGTACTGAGGTGTGAAACGGTGAAAACTGTCAAAATTTCATGTTATTTTTGTGCACGATTACAAGACTTTCTCTATACTTCGTATACACAATTTTACGTCATTTGCTGTATAATAGTTACTTTCATGTGCAAAACATGGTAAAGATATTCAAAAGGTTTTAGATCTTAAATTGTAAAATTTAGAAAAAAAAACGACCATATCCCCTTAACTTAGGTTGTCGCTTGACCTACTTTTTTTACCGTCGTCATGGTAACGATAGCTACCAAAATCAACAACGTGATTCCGTTTTTTAACAACGTGTCATGGTCATTTACTTAAATATATACATAAAATCGTTATTTTTGCGTATTATTCAACGATAGATGTCTAGTTTTAACAATGGACGATTAGTGTTTGATGCTAACTTGCCATTGATACATTTTTGTCTAATCGCTGGAATTATCGAGCAGAACATAATAAAAGTAAGAACAACGTGAATTGTTTTATTTAATATTATTCTAAATATACTGAAAATATATTCTAAACTATAGAAAAATTATAACTTGCTTTCTATTAAACTAATGTCATTTATGTTTTAAAAATCATGCAGGATAAAACAAAACCTTTCAAAAATAACTTGATCGAGACAACAGCTAACTAAGCCCGCCCATTATGCCCTCCATGGTTTTTGAATGGGGAGAAAAAAAAACAGAAGACATATTTCTGCTGAACAGCAGCGAACGATCAAATGCGTCACAAAAACACTCCTTAAAAAACTATACCCACTGTATCAATGAAAATCAGTCTTGTCATCGTAGCCATTTAAAAACAAACTCGTTTTTTCACAAATCATTTTTATGGCTACCGATTGGTATCGAATTAAATGTAAATAAATGTAGTTTTTAATTTTTAAAGTCAGCATAAGCAATAATGAAGTTTAAAATACCTGAGGCGACACCCTACCTTAACTGTTGTTCACGGATCGTTGGTTTAACGCATGGGAGCAGACCATGGACATTTAGAATGAGAAGATAACTGTCTTTTAAAGATCGCAAGCTACATCTGGTTTAAGCACATAGTTTCAGTCGTATGTTGTGCCAACTTTATAATAAAACAATTATCAGAAAGTAGATACTAAAAATATATAAATGAGTTGTTGTTTTTTTTTAAGTGTAAAATAATATTTAAACCCACTGAAGATTTAAAAAAAAAGACAAATTAACATATTTGCTATCATTATTAAAAGCATTGATTGTTCATGAAATATTTTACACATTTTAATTGCTTATGTTTTCTTAAAGAAATATATAAGAAAATCTATTTTAATGCATTCAAAAGCGTATGCTAAATGTTCATATAGTTGTTATATTTTATTTTACAGATAAAAATCTCACAGCCGGACGGGCGTCCGATCGGCCCCACCAATGAAAACGTGATGGTTCTAATCAGTGGCCTTTCTTCAAACATACTTGAACAGACCCTGAGAGTCCCTAGCAACGGTCTGGTCACTTTACGCCCACAGATACCATCAAACGCCCAGTTCATCCATATAACAGTGAGTGAAGTGTTATAGGCTCTATTGTGTTATACAGGTCATTTAGCCATTGCTTCTGTCTGTATCTTTTCAATGTTTGGTTTTTGTACCAAACGATGGGGGAAAAATAAAATACATCCCTGTGTTAAGGGGTCGGCGTGGTAGTGTCGGTAAAGCTCATGGTTGCTAAACGAAAAGCCTTGAGTTCAAACTTTCGGGCAGAAAAGACTCGTTAGCTGGGGACAACCACTCTTTTAGGAGAGACAACTCCAAAATCAAACAACTGCTGCCTTGTAGTTTGTCCTTGGTTGGACAGAAGCTATGGAAGCAAATCCAAAAAGAAAAGCAAGAAGAAATCAGAGCCAATGGCCTCACTAGCAATTGACCAGTTGACAAGTATACTTGTTTTTGAGCTTAGCCGTTTCAATAGTAAAATTAAGAAAGCAGAAGAAGAAAATAAGAAATTCTTCTGTTGTCATTTCACTATTTAAACGAGGAACGGTGAGGATTATTTTTAGGTATCTGACAATAATGGATTATGTCTGTCGATTCCAATTTCAGGCGTATTTCCGGGGAGCTTTCAAAAGAGAGTGTGTACCAATGAGTCATTCTCCTAGTAGCTCATACCTCAAAATCTATCAGCATTCTACCTCTATAAAGGTGAGAAACAAAACTTTATGTATTGCCACATGAAATATATCTTTTTGTAGATTGAAACAGATTGAAAATAACGAGCACATTAAATTTGTATTATGTTAATACACACTAAAAGCCAAACCTGACATCGATAGTGATTTAACCAAATGCAGACTGCTCGCATTGTTTAAGATAAAATAAAATTACTTTAAAATACTTGCAAATAAGGATGCGTTAAACCATTATTTTGTTAACGATTTTGGTATTTTTCAAACAAAAATTAATATTAAAGATACACCCCCCCCCCCTGAAAAAACCAACATATTCATCTGATCTGATAATGTACACTAATTTTGTGCAATGCTAACCTTTTTTTAAACACTATTTTAGGCAGGGGACACGGTATTATTTTCAGCCGAAGGTACTGAAGAATTGCCTACCCTTACGTACCAGGTAAAGACACATAATAGTGTTTAAAAAAATAGTGTTTTACATAATACACTAATAGTACACTAATCCATCAAACAGTACTAGAGTGAAAAAGATACAAAATTTCTGTGATTTTTTTAAACCACAGATTCTCTCTCGGGGAAATATAGTAAAATCTGGCACAATCAAAGGCAACAACCAGAAGAGCATCTCTTTCTCCATCGTCTCTGAGCCCAGCATGGCGCCCTCTGCCAGAATCGTCGTCTACTACGTCAGACCAGACGGTGAAGTTGTCCCAGACAGTATCAGCTTCGACATCAGCGGTGCTTTCAATAACAAGGTACACACGTACTCTCTATAACATTCCTCTAGCGCGATCAACTGAGCAACTAAGTAGAATATACTAGACTACCCGTTATCTAGTTAGATAACTGTGTTTCGGGGGGTCATCCATAAATGACATCACGTCTGTCACTGATCATCACAAAAAAAACAGAGATCACATTCAAAAAGACGTTTTTAGCGAAAAATGTCCATACTGGAATTGCGATTATTAACTCGTCATTTCTGGG